GCGACGGGTCCGCTTTCTTCCCGGACGAGCCGTTCTTGGCCGCCGCCGCCGCCGCCGCCGCCGCCCGCTCCTGCTTGCGGAACTTGGCCCGCCGGTTCTGGAACCAGACCTGGAGGCAGAAAGAGAAGGGAGCGCGGTCCCGGTTAGTCCAGAGGCGGCTTCCCCGGCGCCGTCGTCCCTTCCACCCCTCCGCCCGCCCCGCCTCGGGGGTCTCTCTCCCCCTTTCTTCCCCCCCTGCCCGTCGGGAATCAGCAAAGACGCGGGTCGGACGCCCAGGTTCCGACGCTTCCCTTTCTTCCGAGTCTCTCCCCGGCCCGTCGGGAAGCTGCAAAGACGCGGGTCGGACGGCCAGGTTCCGACGCTTCCCTCTCTTCCGAGTCTCTCCCCGGCCCGTCGGGAATCTGCAAGGACGCGGGTCGGACGCCCAGGTTCCGACGCTTCCCTTTCTTCTGAGTTCGGACTTTACCCGTCGGGAAGCCGCAGCTTCCCTTTCCGACGCTTCCCTTTCTTCCGAGTCTCTCCCCTGCCCGTTGGGAAGCCGCAAAGACGCGGGTCGGACGGCCAGGTTCCGACGCTTCCCTCTCTTCCGAGTCTCTCCCCGGCCCGTCGGGAATCTGCAAGGACGCGTGTCGGACGCCCAGGTTCCGACGCTTCCCTTTCTTCCGAGTCTCTCCCCTGCCCGTCGGGAAGCTGCAAAGACGCGTGTCGGACGCCCAGCTTCCGACGCTTCCCTTTCTTCCAAGTTCGGACTTTCCCCGTCGGGAAGCCGCAGCTTCCCTTTCCGACATTTCCCTCTCTTCCGAGTTTCTCCCCTGCCCGTCGGGAAGCCGAAAAGACGCGTGTCGGACGCCCAGGTTCCGACGCTTCCCTTTCTTCCGATTCTCTCCCCTGCCCGCCGGGAAGATGCAAAGACGCGTGTCGGACGCCCAGGTTCCGACGTTTCCCTCTCTTCCGACTCTCTCCCCTGCCGGCGGGAATCCGCAAAGACGCGTGTCGGACGCTCAGGTTCCGACGCTTCCCTTTCTGCCGAGTCTCTCCCCTGCCCGTCGGGAATCTGCAAAGACGCGTGTCGGACGCCCAGGTTCCGACGCTTCCCTTTCTTCCGAGTCTCTCCCCTGCCCGTCGGGAAGCTGCAAAGACGCGGGTCGGACGCCCAGGTTCCGACGCTTCCCTTTCTTCCGAGTCTCTCCCCTGCCCGTCGGGAAGC